CCGGACCTCCGCTAGGAGTAGACGTATACAGAAACTTTATAACTCTTATTCAAAAATATTTATTCAAAATTAACTCAATTAAATATACACGAAATATTAGGAGTGCATAAGGACTAAGCTTCAACATTACCTGCGCAGCGCCGAGTAAAATCTGGGGCCCTGGTACCACGCTAGCAAGGTACCGTGAGACCTTTTGTTTAATATAAACTAATCAGCGCTTGCGAGGTCGACACCATCTTGTCCTTGCAATAGTAGTCCCGCCCACTGACTTATCGACGCGCGCGCAGCTAAGAACATCTTTACCTGCGCTTGGCCATCCCCGGCCTACGTGGCCTCGCCTCACATAGTAGGAGCGTTCGATTTAAAAATCAGCGCACACACAAATGGAACCTAATTTATTGAATAAATCTCACTTCGAATCACACCTAGAGCTGTCAGGACATCATTTAGATAATAGCTTTATTGCACAGCGCTGCAAAAGAAAGTGCCCGGAGGACGATATTGAACCTGATAGGTTTGATGCGTTTAGAGAGGAAATTAGTGCCATGATAAATTCTATGTTTAAGGTGCAAGAACGTGAAATTAATAAAATTACCCCGGTGCTTTTAGAAATTAAGAACACGAATTCTAGCATAGAAAAAACAATATCGTTCCTAGCAACGCAAAATGAAGAACTCAAGCAAAAACTGGAATATCTCGAAAGCCAAAACAAAAAAGATAAACAACAAATAGCTATTCTGGAACAAAAATTGGAGGATATGCAGCGCGAAGGCCGTAAAGCTAACTTTGAGATTAAGAACGTACCCAAAACAGCCGAAGAAACCCGTGGAAACTTGATAGGAATGGTAATGACATTGTCAAAAACAGTCGGAAGCAAGCTTAATGAATCACATATCATGGACATCTTTCGAGTAAAAGGAAAAAAGGGAGCGAAGAGTGAGTCACCAATCATAGTCGAGACCTCGTCCTCAATCGTGAAGACAGAACTCTTGGCTATGTGTAAGGCCTTCAACAGGAAAAATAAACAAAAGCTCTGTGCCAAACATCTTGGCTTTAAAAGGGGTGAAGATACGCCTATTTTTGTGTCGGAGCAGCTAACCGCCAAAGGGGCTCGTCTGTACTTTTTAGCACGGGAACTCGCCAAAACAAATACCTTCAAGTATTGTTGGACTGCTATGGCCGAGTGTACCTGCGAGAGCATGACACGTCCCCCGTTATAACGATTAAAAGTGAAGCCCAAATAAACAGCCTGATGCAAAAAACACGACTATACGTTGAGCCTTATGTGGTTGGCATTAAACATTTATCTTTGTTATTGCACACTCTACATTATATTATTTGTTTTAACTAATTTAATTGGCTATAGGCAATGCCCACTATGTAAAAGTATACACAAATACATAATACACAACACAAATACATACACAATGTACATACTTACAATATTTATGTATTTTCCCCACCTAATTATAAGTAAATCAAAAGAAATCGTATTATTAATAAAATTAATTCAATTCCTTATAGTACGTAAACCAGCTTTATATACGAACATAAAAATGGATAGTTCTCTCATTAATCTGAGAGTAATAGACAAAATCCAAGTTGCACAGTCAAAGGTAGAATCAATTCATAACTTCTCGAAAATATTGCATTACGTAAAAAACACTGACTTCACTATAATTGCTCAAAACATCCGAAGTATATTTAAAAATTTTAACGACTTTTACATTTCCCTATCGAACTTTAACTTTGAAGTTGACTTGTTGGTATTAACTGAGTGTAGACTTGACTGTAACGAAGCAATACCGCAGTTAAATAATTATACCTCTTTTTCGACTACAAATCATATTAATCAGTGTGATGGGGTAGTAGTTTATGTAAAAAACACACTTAAATGTAATATAAAAGAAATTAAATTAATACTGCTCAGCTGCAAGTTGTATTGCTCAGTTATACAATTCTTTGCATTTATCGATCGCCTTCAATTAGAAATGCTGAACTTTTTATAAACTCATTGTGCAGACATTTAGACACTACAAAGGGACATAAAAATGTTGTTATTACGGGTGATATTAATATAAATATTATCAATAAAACCATTGAACAATCACACGAACGTACAATTAGACTGGCATACCTCAATATGTTAGCAATGCATGGCATACTTCCAGGACATGTATTGCCTACAAGGAAACACAACTGCTTGGACCATTTTATGCTGAAAATAGATATTAATATACACTTGACCTCCATTATAGTCTTTGACACCACTATAACCGATCATCATATGATATTCCTAAAATTGACCACGATACACTCCAAAATAAAGATAATTACTAATAATAATAAATATAAGACAGTTACAAATTATGAAAATGCACTCTTAAGCCTAAAAGAAAGTAATCTAGCTAATTTAATAGTATATGAGAATCCCACAGAATTAACTAACACACTTATTAATAAATTGCAGCAATGTTTAATGGATAACACATTTTCAAAACACATTCCCTCCAAGGATCGATTAATTAAACCATGGATTACACCAGGTATTTTAAGGTGTATCCGAAATAGGAATGACATGCAACGAAAATTACGCGCTGATCCATATAATGATATCTTAAAAATAACTTACAAAAGATACCGTAATTTTTGTAATCACATAATTAAAAAATCTAAGATTCAATATGATAAAGAACTCTTGATTAAACATAGGAAAAATCCACGGACTTTATGGCATACAATAAATAATATAACAAGCCGTAACAAAAGAAAAACAAATAGTCTGGAGTTGTTAGACATACACGCTTCCCCACAGTTGTCTGTTGATCATGTATGCGATTTCTTCGCTAATGTTGGCAAAACCTTAGCTGAGGATATTCTAACAAACACTTATACACAACAAGTTGGTGCTAGCAATGTTTGTTTTAACTCACCTGTAGCGTCTATGTTTTTTCATGAAACCGATCCTGAAGAGGTTCACAAAATTTTGATGAGCCTGAAATCTGAGAGCGCCCCAGGCTGGGATAATGTATCTCAATTCTTAAAACAAGCGAACGATCAAGTAGCGCCCATAATTTCGCACCTTGCTAACCTCTGTTTTAAACATGGGATCTTCCCAGCGGGGCTCAAAAAGGCAATAATAACGCCGGTGTATAAGAATGGTGACAGAGAAGATGTATCCAACTATAGGCCAATTTCAGTTTTAACCACCATTTCAAAAATTCTAGAGAAATTAATCAACAAGAGACTTATAAATTATTTAAATAAAGTTGATTTTCTTTCAAAATCGCAATACGGCTTTCGGCAAAATCTTTCAACTGAAGATGCAGTCACAGCATTAACGACACATATCGTTAACAATATCGACAGGGGAAAGAAATGTATTGCAGTGTTTCTGGATTTAAAAAAAAGCATTTGATACTGTCTCTGTCCCCATTCTTATACAAAGACTGGAGAGTACTGGCATAAGAGGAGTGGCACTTGCGCTATTATCAGACTACCTCAATGAGCGCAAACAATGCGTGAAAATAGGCAAATACATTAGTAGCCAATGGATGATGTGACGCTATGGTGTCCCACGGTCAGGGAAGTGTTCCCTTGGGCCGACTCTATTCTTGACTTACATCAATAGCGTAAAATGAAGCTTTTGCAACTAGTATACTAACATAACCCGGCGGGAAGCCACGACAGGTTTTTTCTTATGACCAGAAAAACGACACTGCCATTGTTTTCACTATCGGCAACACAATGGGAAATTTCGGTACGTCCGGCCGAAGTCCAAAAACGGAGGAGGGGCAGTAGTCAGGGTAGCTAACTGTAGTTAAAATGCCAACCCGTCTTAACATTGGACAAATAATACATGACGGACAAAACAATCTACATAGCATTCACAAACTATAATTCAACGCAACTTGAACATAATTTCAAAATTCAAATTCATGAGTGTAACAACCTTCGAATAAATTGCTCTTGCAAACCCATTTCCAAAGTTAATAATACAAAGTATTTGGGAGTTGTAGTTGACCAGAGGCTATCCTAGCACGCCCATCTAGAACTAATGATGGGAAGAGTCAGAAAACTTATATGGGTTTTTAAAAAGCTGAGACATGTTACTGACAAGAAACTATTAAAACTAATTTATGTTTCATTGGCTCAGTCACTATTGACCTGCTGTATCCCAGTCTGGGGTTGTGCTAGTAAGACGCAGTTTCTCGATTTAGAAAGAGCACAAAGAGCACTACTAAAGGTAATGAGCTTTAAACCCTAAAGGTATCCTCACTTACTTACTGAAAACCTATACAAAATAAGTGATGTTCTTACAGTTAGGCAATTGTATATATTAAATATAATTCTAAAATGTCACAAAACGCTTCCATATGATTCTTCCAAAATATCTAGAAGACGAAAGCATAATGTAGCTCCCCTTGCTACAGTCAAGTCAGGTTGTGCTAGGAGGCAGTTTACGGTTCGATCTGCTTATTTATATAATAAAGTTTTAAACATTTACCAAATGACTAAATACAAGTGCAAAATGAGTTTGACAGCACTATTAAAAACTTGGAGTTACGATAAAACTGAGTCTTTCTTACAGAACTCAAACTAAGACATTCTTGGATCATATTTTACACACAATAGAAGTTTGATTTAAAAATAATATTTTATTTAATAAAATAGGAATGAAAAAACTCACCTAAACTTAATCCCTTGGGGCCTTAATGTAATTGAAATTTTATTAACCTTCAAGCGGGCGCGCGTAGTCGAATCGACCGCGCTTAGTACATTTTCGTTCATACCTATTATTATTACCCATCACATTTATTTCTCATTTCTAGTAGCTTGTCGCTATGTCATTGGGAGTAAAATAAAGAATAAACCGTGGCTCGGAGCGCTCCCCCCACTCCACAGATCGCAATTGTTTTAGTCCCGGTGCAGTCGTCGAAAAGACTACACGCGCCTGTCGTCGAAAAGGTTACGCGCGACGCTCAACGCGACATACCTACCCTCGTGGTAGTTCTTCGGCCATCGTTCAATATTATTGAATTAAACTTGGATTTTTTTATATAAAATGAGGCTTAGACGGTTACCACAAAGTGCAATACTCGAGTAATTACTAAGAGAAGACGAAGTAGAGAGTGAATCAGAGCTCAGCGACCAAGGCTCTGAAACTTCCGACCACATCGTTGCGGAGGAACCTCGATCTGCTGAGGAATCAAACTGCTCGGACTCAGAAGAGTATGATTTGCCACTTTCAGAAATAAGTAGCTGTTTTACAGGGCGCGATAAAGTAACGAAGTGGCAAAAATCTAACAATAACAGAGTGAGGCGTCAAGTTCAAAATATTCTCACGGAAGATGCGGGCACTCGTAGGAATGGTGTGGGAGTGACAACATTTACGCAAGCCTGGAGTTTATTTATTTCAGAGAATATTATTGAAAAAGTTGTTAGATATACCAACGAATTTATTCAAAAAAAAAAGCGCCATCGTATAACAGAATACGTGACTGCAAACCGACAGATGCGGTGGAAATTCGAGCACTTTTCGGATTGTTGTACGTAGCGGGATCCTTGAAGACATCACACGCCAATTTAGAAGATTTTTATGCAAGTGATGGGACAGGTATTCCTATTTTTCCTACTACTATGTCAGTAAAAAGAGTAAAATTTCTACTGAATTCATTGCGGTTTGATGATGCTACTACGCGACAAGCTCGTCGTACTCTAGACAAAGCTGCGCCAATAAGAGAAGTTTTAGATATGTTTACACAAAACTGTCTTTTGCCATATTCAGTGGGAGAGAACGTCGTAATCGATGAGATAATGGTTGGCTTTCGAGGAAAATGTCCTTTCCGACAGTACATGAAATCAAAACCCGACAAATACGGAATCAAACTTTATCCACTAGTAGATGCTGCTACGTTTTACGTCCTAAATATTGAACTTTATGCTGGCAAGCAGCCTGAAGGCCCATATCAGTTGAGTAATGCTGCGGCAGACGTTGTGAAGAGGCTAATTACACCAATTTCTGGCACTGGAAGAAACCTTACCATCGACAATTGGTATACCAGTGTGCCGCTGATGAACGATTTGGCCAAGGATTATAAGATTTCTGTTATGGGCACCATGCGTATAAACAAGAAAGAAATACCTCCTTGCTTTATAGATAAAAACCAACCTGAATATTCAAGTCAATTTGGATTTTCAGATACAGCTACACTCGTATCTTACGTGCCTAAAAAGAAAAGATCTGTAGTTCTTATATCATCACTTCATTGTGCTGCAGAAATTGATGAAAGTACAAATGAAAAGCGCAAACCCAGCATCGTTACTTTTTACAATAAAACAAAAGGGGGTGTCGATGAAGTTGATAAAAAAGCAAAAATGTATTCGGTTTCAAGGAAGAATAATAGATGGCCATTGACACTCTTCTTTCGTCTTCTGGATATTGCAGGAATAAATAGTATGGTGATATTGAGGGCAAATAATGTTAGAGTCACATGAAAAAGCCGAATGTATTTACGGGCATTAGGCACTGAATTGACAAAAGAGTACGTCCAAAGAAGATCAACGATGTTAGGCCTTCCAAGAAAACTAAAAAGAAACATAATGGAGCATTTGAATATGGAGGATAGTGCTGCTGATACAGAAGCAGGTAGTTCTGGCACATGCAGAGGAACCTGTAAAATATGTCCAGCCAAAAAAAAGGAGGCAATCAAAAACGCAATGTAAATTATGTATGAAAAATATTTGCAGAAGTCATACAACATTTATTTGCAATCAATGTTATATGGACGAAGGAACTGATTGTGATGAAAACTAAGCCAAATTAATTAATTTTTATTTTTATTTTGTAATTTTTATTATTAGACTAGTATATAAACTAGTCTGAGATATGTAAAAGGGTTTTGTGTTCCTCATTTTTGTTTTCATTCAAAGCATATTTGAGTTATGTTAATTAATTTAATAATTGTTTCTTTTTCATAATTTTAATTACATTACTTTTTTTGACAAATCAGACTTTAAAGGCAATGATAATATATCTGAGTACAAATAAATAAATAAATATTGAAAAATTAGTGCTTTATTTCTCTTATTCATCCCATAGGTCTTTTCGGTTACGCGCGCCCGCTCCCGCCCGCTTGAAGGTTAATAACCCATAAAGCTCAAACTCACATAAACATAAACACACGCGCACACACGCACACGCACACTCATACACGCACTCACGCACACTCACATACACTCTGCACACACTCGCACACACACGCACACACACGCACTGACACGCACTGACACGCACTCACACACACTCACACGCACACGCGCACACACTCACTCACACACACACACACACACACACACACGCACACGCACACGCACACGCACTGACACGCACACACACGCACATGCACACGCACACACACACACACACACACACACACACACACACACACACACACACAAATACTTTGAAATATTGTAAATCCTTGTGTACCATGTAAAATTTGTTGAGAAATGTTATATTTTTATTTTTATTTACTCTTAATCTGTGCTTTAGAGCAACTTGAAAAATGTAAATTAAAAATATGTTTTTAGATTAAGTATTGAAGTAAGTAACATTAGGTAACTACTACTACTACTAGGTACTAACATTGATTAACGAATACAAGGTATCACCTTAGTATTCGTTAATCAATGTTACGGAGAGGGAGGATTTCTAACACAAGTATTTATTTACTTAAAAGAAGTCCTCATTCACAACACTGCCATGTAAAAACTCTGATACTGAATAAATCATTTGATTTGATTTGATACGAGGGTGGATTGAAAAGTACTCGGCCTAACCAAGAAAATAAACACATACTAAATCAGTTATATTTTTATTTTTCTACATAATCACCATCAAGTTCAATACACTTTTGCCACCTCACCTTCCAAGCATTTAGACCGTTGAAAAAAAATGATTCTTCCTTAGAGTCAAAATATGCGTCTACAGCTGCTTTGACCTCGTCGTTTGTCGAAAATCTTTGACCTCCCAAGTGCTTTTTTAGGTTAGGGAACAGAAAGAAGTCTAATGGTGCCATATCAGGTGAATACGGCGAATGCGGTAACAGTTCAAAGCCACAGTTGTGAATTTCAGCCATTGACTGTACTGACGTGTGAACACGGGCGTTATCTTGATGAAACAGGACTTTTCTTCTGAGCATTCCTCGACGTTTTTCTTTTATTTCCTCTCGTAAACGACGTAGTAAGGTGCAGTAGTAATCAGAGTTTATAGTCTGACCCCTTTCAAGATAATCAATCATAATCACACCTTTCGAGTCCCAGAATACTGAAGCCATCACCTTATTTGCCGACAAAATCGACTTAGCCTTTTTAGGGGGTGGTGAACCAGGTCTTCTCCACTGTTTTGATTGTTGTTTTGTTTCCGGTGTACAGTAATGAACCCATGTTTCGTCCATAGTAACAAAACGATTCAAAAAATCATCTGCATCGGCTTCAAATAACTCCAAACAGTCGTGTGAAATAGTCAATCGCGTCCTTTTTTGTTCAACTGAAAGCAGTCGCGGAACCCACCTCGCAGATACCTTGTGGAAACCCAACTCGTTGACAATGATGTTTTGAGTTCGTTCATAAGAGATGCCTATAATCTCGGCTATCTCTCTAATTTTTAATCTGCGGTCTCCCATTATTAAATCAAGTACTTTTTTAATATTTTCGTCAGTAGTTGACGTCGAAGGCCTTCCAGAGCGGGGTTCATCTTTCACACTCTCTCTACCACGCTTAAATTCTGCTATCCATTTTTTGATGGATGAATGTGACAGAGCACAATCGCCTAATGTACTGACCATGTCATCATGGATGGCTTTTGATGATAGCCCCTTCTTATGGAGGTACTTAATGACGGCACGCTGCTCGATTTGCTCCATTCGCGGAAATTATGTCCGATTACTTTGTTAATAAATTTATAAAATCACAACTAATTATCGCACACGTTTCGAACTTCACACAATGAACTAGTCTGAACTGAACTAAATAATGTGCGTAGATTTGATTTATAGAATTGAATGGATCTGTGTTAGGCCGAGTACTTTTCAATCCACCCTCGTATCTTAAGACAACATGGTATTGTAATAAAAAGAAGCATAGTATGGATCTATCAATTGTTTATCAATGAGATCCTTAAGATTATTCTTTTTAGCAAAACTAAGTTGAAGTGGCCCTAAGTATGCCTTTTGCATAGTTATTTCTTCAATATCTGGCATTCTTTTCCTCTTGTTACTAACATTTAATTTTTTGAAATCATCCTTGTATGAACTTTTGTAATAAAAAGAAAAGGGGTCATCTTTGGTAAATTGCAATACTTTGATACTATTCCACACTACATTATTTTTCTGCTCGTCAGTATTAAAATTATAGCCCCATTTTTCTTGCAGTTGCTAAAGATCATAAAAAAAATTATGTGTTAAACTATGAACTTTAAATGAGGTGCCAGATTTCCTTGCTCTATTTATAGCTGAAATGTACTGTACTGTACTGGCGAGTATATTGGTCCTGTTTTCAGATCTAGTGAGTAGTTTTGTGTGTGGTCCTTGATAAGATATTTGTGAGTTATCTTATTCAAATTATATTGGCCACAGCAAATAAATATAAAGAGGTGAGGTACTTATTTTTATTTTGTCCACAGCAATTATCAGATATAAACGTTATGTTAACTTCTTTCTTACCTGCTTCTTCACACACCATTTTCAAATAATGATAAACACAGCTACCTACCTAAAAGAGTTTGTTTGACTTGCAATGTTGGCATTATTATTGTTGTACCCAACATTTAGAATGGCTGGCTGGCAAACCTACTTTCACATAGACGCATATTAATTCGCTCTGAAGGAAGATTTCTACCAGCTAGATTTACCTGGAAGGGACTACCACAAGGTTCTGTCTTGAGCCCCTTGCTGTACAGCCTTTACACCCATGATATAGATAGATCTGTAAATTATCTAGGTAATATTTTGCAATATGCAG